GTGTGGGGGAGGGATGGGGGGCCGTAGCTGCTGCAGGGCACTCTTTTGGGAGGGCCTGCCTGGAGAAGCGTGGCCGTAAGCAAACAGCAGATCAACCCTGTTAGGTTCGTATATCCCCAAAAGGTTCGTGCCCCTTTCAAACCCCCGAGTCGCCGCCTGCACTGAGTTGCTAAATCTTACTGACACTTTATGCTTAGCCTTGTTCAACGCTGATTTCTTTAAGGTCGCTATGCCCTAAAAGCTATGAAGCAAATGGAGCCACAAGTAAAACAAGCACTTCAGAACCTACCAAAACCTGTAAGTTTTTGTTTTATCAGTAGCGTCTTTTTTTGTAAAAGTTTACGTGGTGAAATAACTACAGGCTGTTCTCTCTGTGCAGCCTTGCTGCGTTTTCTTCTTAGGCCAAACGCAATTTTGTCAGTAATAACAGAATTAACCTCAGCACTTCTGGTGGCGGTTGACTAATGGAGAACTTGTTTTGGCACGCTGAAGTACTCGTTCAAATAACGATGCTCTCCTTCAGCTGAATTTCTTATTACAAGTGCAAAACAAGCTTTGCCATGTTCTTACAGACTAAAAGCTCGGCAGCCACTAAAGCAGTTGTTTTGACCCATAAAGCTAAACTTAAAATCAGCGATTTTTTAGAGTAACACGTCTTCTCTTTCAGGCCTTCAGTGGTTATTACAGAGGTGGATTTGAACCCAAAATGACTAAACGAGAAGCAGCCTTAATACTCGGAGTGAGGTAAAAGGAAATTTATTAGAAATGAAAGGTAAAAAGGAGGCTACGGTGTTACCTGGTTTGAAAAGGGCGTCGTTCTCGCTGCGTGAGGCTGTCCTGTGCCCGGCTTCCCCTGGGAGTGGCGCTGCCAAGTCAGGAAATAGGGAGCTGCCTTTCAGGATTTTCCGTACTTATTTGGGGCTCTGCACTTGCGTGTTAGCTCGCCGGAAGCTAACTCTAGCTGGGCTTCGTACGCCTGCAAATCCCTAGCACGTTTGAAAGCCGCGTAGGGGTCCAGGTAGCTTCACCCTTTGCGAGAAGCTTTGGGGTTTTACTCGGTGCGGGGAGCGTGGTTGTGCTGTTTGCTTGGGGTTCCTGTCACTGCTGCTGAACTTCAGGCAGATGCGGTGTGACGGGGCTGCAAACCCTGGTCTTCCACCTGGAGTAAATTCCTCACTTCTAGAACACCTTAGATACGAGCATGGTAACTATCCCTGCCAAGACTGAGAGACCAAAGACACACCTGTGTCTGGTGAGGTGCAGAATGGGAACCATTTCTGTTTGAAGGCAATTGCCAGCTGTGAAGTCTGTATGCAAACGGTTGGTTGGTTAGTTTGGCTTTCTGAAACAAATGGAGAGCAAATTTTATTTTTTTCCTCCAGCTCTTAGGAAGTTGTCCCAGTAAAAATGTTGCAGCCTGGTTCTGTTTGTTCTCAAGCGTATGAGTGTCCCCCACCGTACCAGGCTGCTGTAGCTTGTTGTCTTCAGCATGCGGTGTTTTGGAAAAGCCTTAGAAACCAGGACTTACATGCTACTCATCAGTAGTAGGAAAAGAAAAACGTATGTCTAAGCTAGAGCTTATGGATAAGACAGTGCCTGCTTGTTCTAAGATATCTTTTAAAGATCTGGGCGATTTTATGAGGTTCCCTTAAGTCAGTTTTTCTCTCTCTCTCTCTCTTTTAAAGCCCTACAGCCAACAGAAGTAAAATTCGAGAAGCCCACAGACGGATCATGCTGCTCAATCATCCAGATAAAGGTTAAGTAAATTAAGTCACATGGATTAATACATGTTTTTAACACAGATTAATAGAACTGCGTAGGGCAGAAGTGACTGACAGATGACTACTTCAGCTACTAAAAGAAGCCAGAAAACTCTTGAGTGAAAACAGCTTTTAGGGTGCCTTATGGTTTTGAAGCCTGGTTTTGTGTTTGAACGCTCTAAAGCACGCAGGCAGATTCAGCAGGCCAGCCCGTTACTTGCTCTCTCTTCTGCGCAGGTCAGATTAAAATTTGATTTGTTAAAATGAGACTTAAATTCACCTTAATTTTAGATGAAAGACCAAAGTGTATTTGCGTGCGTTATGCACCGTGTGAGTTGGGGTTCATTTGAACGCCTCGGGAATGCAGCACAGATGTCAGGTTGTGAGCCTTCTGCGGCTGCTGAAGACACTGAACTGAAACATTTCTGTTTGGGGTCCGTTTGGGGTCCTCTGACAGCTCAGGACGTGGCTATGCTTGAAGTTAATATTAATAACCCAAGGCAGCTCTAAATACCGTTTCCTTCAGTGCAGCAGAATCATGCGTCAGTGCTTGGCATTTAATTTCTTAATCCTCACTTAAAATGGCTTCCTGTAATGCGGCTGTTGAACGTCATCACTTTACTTTTATGCACCAAACCCCCAAATAATCTTTGGGACGTGGGTTTCGTAGAGTATCTAGCAGAAGTTAACTTCAAAATTAACTTTATTGAATATATGCAGAACGTAAAAGACTGCTTGGAGCGTTTCCCATGTTTTACATGGCCTAAATAAATTAAGCTTCAAATAGAGTAATTCCAGTACCAGTGAGCGGTGTACACGCTACTGGTGTTTGCACCTCTCAGTCAGTTCCAGCTCCAGTGCGTTGTGGATTCTGTCTCGGTGTCTTCCCAAGTCATTTGTGTGTCAGGTTTAAAAACTGCACGGGTCCATTGGCGCTGCAGCAGGTCCTGTGCTGGCCTGGCACGGGGGGGGAGGTTTCACTGCAGACTTGTTAACGCGTCTGTATTCACAACGCCCTTTATGCTGGCGTTCGTTAGTGACCGGTGCATTTATGGCTGATAAAACTGGAGAAAAATCCCACCAGCCAGTAACTGAAAGCAACCTAAGAGGGATGAGCTGCCTGCAGCTCTGGCTGCTGCGGTGCCCGTACGCGTGACCCTACCCCGCTTCAGCCGTCGTGCCCTTCGTTCTTTAACCTGCGGAGGTTCAGGCCGCACTCGCCAGTTCCCCCGTGTACTGTGGCATTATTAACAGCACAGATAAAAACCCCACTCTTTTCATCGGCCGTGACACGAGGTTATCTTTCTTCCAGGTGGCTCTCCATATGTAGCAGCCAAAATCAATGAAGCTAAAGATTTGCTGGAAGACCAAGCTAAAAAATGAATGCGAGAGAAAATCGGAGGCTTTGGCCAATGCAAATGATTATTTTTGATAAATGGCTTAAGGCAAGTTTTAATATCAGTCTTTGACTTAATATAAATGAAGCTGGAAATGTGAATCCAGGGAGGTCCTTCCCTCCCCGCTCACTTCTTAGTCTTTTTTTTTTTTTGGGCAAACATGTGAGGGAGCGAGGCTTAAAGCTTTTTTCATAGCTGTTCTTCATTATTAAGCAGCAAAATCTGCAGCTCAAATATTTTCAGTGTGAAAGGGTAATAACTTGGTTAGGCCAGTGCATGTTACCGGAACAGGTAGCCGTAGGCGCTGTTACCGAACTTGTGTGGAGCTAGCTCTGACGGTCACGCTGCTGTTCTTCGTATGCCAAAGTGAGCGCGGTGACCCCGTTTGGGGAGGGGGTGGAAGAAAATCAAGTGGATTAATTTGAGAGGAAGAATGGGGACAGAGGCGTGGTTGTCTTGGATTTAAGAAATAAAATATAGGAAACGACGGACTCTGTTGTCTTTGCCTAGAGACAAACAAGGTTGCTTGAGCTTCTGACGTGTTACTGGTGTGTCTGGGATGTCCCGGATTTTTTAGTACCTTTCAGTTTTTAATGCATTTTATAGCATTCGATACATTTGAGATGTGGGCTGTAAGTACTCTGGTTTTATGCGTTGTCTTACGCTACGAAGTTCGCGTTCATGAGGTGAGGTGTGAGTTAAAGCAATTAGGAAACAGGAACGCTCCTCGTAAGCTGCTGAAGATACCGGAGCTGGATGCGCCAGGCTGCAGCCCAGCAGGCGTCTTTGTAAGCGGCCGAGTCGGGGCCAGAGCGGTGTCGCACGCCAAGAACCTTTCTGCAACCACGGTACAAGCTGCTGTGCATCACGTGCCATAGGTCACGCGCATCCGTTGGGAAATAGAAGGGCGCTGGGGGCTCCCGCTTGTCCAGGACTAACGAGCCGCTTCTTGACAGCGTAAGTCACCTCGCGCGCTCGGCGTGAGCGCGGGCCGCGATGCAGCCGTGGGCTGGGTACAGGCCACGCAGGGGTGCCAGAGCAGCAGCACGGCAGAGTCCTGTGCCCTGGGGAGAGCCGATCCCACGGGTAACGTGCGTCCCACACACACCAGGTTTAGGGCCTGTACAGAGGGAGGCGTGAGCTTGCTTCGCCATGAAGTGGGGGGTGAAAACCCAGTTGGAACGCCACCAGGCAGCCCTTCAGGTAGGCATAGCTCAAGCCCTACGTGGAATGGTGCCCTACTTAAGGTTTTTCGTCTGCCAAGTAACACTTTTTTTTGGTCCTTGTTTAATTTTTCTCCACTCTTGAGATGCTTGTGCACACTCCAGTTGTAAGGATTTAACTGTTTGTTCTCCAGGAGGGAACACACCGTGAGTGTCAACTGCGGTCACATTACAGAGCAGCGTGGGGGCAGTGCTGCTGTAGCTGTTCGGGGGTCACAGGCAGTTCACAGCGCTTGTTCTTGTCCTTACTCCTGACGACATCAGGCCAGAGTGCCCGTCCCTCTCACGTCAGCACAACTCAGCACTGCCGGCTTGCTCCAGCCCCTCCTTGCTGCCCAGATGTTTCTCCACACCAGTGTTTTCTGCCTCGCTCTTCTTGCTCATGTGCCTGAAACCATGGCGCAGTGTCACGCTTCTGCCCTCGAACTACATCTGCATTAATTCCTAGATATGTTAGTCAGGTGAGCTCCAAGCTAAGTCTGGTTTTAGACTTGTTAACTGACGTTTTACATCATCACAGCAAAGAATGGAAGACTGGCACATCAGAAGACGCTTAGGGAGGAGTTGAAGGTTCAGGCTGCCTTGCAAGGGAGTTCAATGGTTAGTGCCAAAAACAGTCAACAGATGGAAGATCAAAGTTTATTTTCTTTTACTACCAGCATACAAAAAAAACATATTGCACATCAAACAACCAAAACAAAAATAAAAATACTCTACTAAGGACTAACATATGTAGTTTATACAGAATAAACTTTCTGGAAATTGATCTTTTCAGTAGTTCAGGTTATGTCTTAATGGACATGACTAATTCAGCTTAGTGTTAACTAAAGCTATGTTTGATTTTTAAATACTGTACAGTTTAATAAATAAACCAAACAAAGCCTCAATGTAGAACAGTCACTGCCAATGTCACCCAGTATCCCTGCAGATTATGAGAATTTAACAAATGTATTCCAGTGGTCTGCAGATTTTTCCTCTACATACAGCATTTAAAAAACATGTATTAAAACAGACCAGTTTCCAGACTAAACTAATGGAGAAATTACATTTCAGTGCAAAATATTTTAGACTGCATTTCTTTCTAGTATTCCTCAGGTGAAGAAGTGGTTGCATATTATTAAAAATGTAACAAAAGCAGCTAATGCTTTCATAAAGAGTATTATGTTAGGGATCCCCCTCACATCTTTGCCATATTTTGAAAACAAAATAACATTTCCTATAGCCAGCAATTTTGTTTATTTAAATGTTACATATACTATCTCAAGGCACATCTGATGATATATTTATAACACAGTAGGTGTCAAAGTATGTTTAACATGTGATTTCTTCAGGATCCCTCCCCTTTCTGTATTCCAAAATGGAGGAACTGAAAGTGCGGTGTCAAGACTGGCGATCCATATTCTATCTTTGGCAAGCTTATACAAGCACTATTTTAAATGTAATGTAGGAGAACTGTAAACTAGGAACTTCAGTTTATGAAACACCATTCAGCACTGCTTCTTCCTGGGTGTTCCCGTCCTCCTGAACGGTCACTTTCTTTTCCTCAGGACTGTGCTGTAGTTTAGAAGGCTCATCCCCAGGAGCTGTAGCAGGACCGTTCACTGCCTTTTCGGAAGGGCTGTTCTCATCAATCGCATCTTTCGCCTTGCAAAACCAAAACGGGGAGAACGTTAACGATGCGGTAAAACCCGCACACAGGGCACAACCCCCTTTCCCTCTGGCTCACACAGCTCCTGTGCAAGAGGAGCCGCCTCTCGCCTGGCTGTGCCAGCACCCCGTCGCCCCCCGACGCCCAGAACGTTCTGTTTCACAATTCCCATTCTTCCAAGCCAAGGCAGAAGTGAACTGAGGAGCGGAGTCTCCCACCCCTTTCAGTTGCTAGTCACACAGCAACAGCTCGCTCTTACTTTGCTGACCCCGGACGTAACTTGCGGCGGTACGCGCAACGGTACCTTGGAAGCCAAGGGATTGTGCCGTGGTCAGTTTTGGGGGGGGGTGTTCTGGTATGTAATGCCACTCCGATCCCTTAAGGGGCACGGATCTCAAATCTACAACCCTTGTACCGGTCTCTCTAAACCGGTTTGCACCAGTCACTAAACACACTGCCTTGTGCCCTCTATTTATAGAGCATTTTAAGGATCAGTCCTTCTCCAGACTCATCCACCGATAATTCTCACTCATGTAGCATTACATAATAAATGTAGCATTTAAAAAATGCGTAAAGACTTGATCTGAGCATTACGCTTGGTCCCTGCTGTCTGCAGCGACGGTCTAGGAGTCAAGGGCAGTTCTGTTTACTGTGGGCCGGTTTCGCTTTTAATAATTTATTCTTAAGCTCAAATGCGTTTGTAGTCAAATGCGGGCGATCCAAGTGAAGCGTTCCCTTTCTGTTTTGCTGCGAGGGAAGAGGAAAAGCACGCCATACGTTAAAGAAAAATAAAAATATCTTCTTACCGTTTCTTTCTTGGTTTTGGCTATTGTCTCCTTTGGAGGGTTTCTCTGTCTACTTTGAGATTCAGCTCGTGATATATAATCAGCTACTGTTACTGTTCGAGGAAAAGAAACCACAGTGATGCTCACAGCAGAAGCCCCGTTTCGCATTACGCTTCACACGTCTTTTCTGCACAAGTTCTAGCGTAACTGGGAGACATCTCACAAAAGGCCTTCACACTTGCAGGTATCAGCTACACAGCAAGGATCAATTCGTTTCCGTTGAATACAATTTCCACTAAAATCATTGGTAACGTGACAATCTGAAGGTGCAATCTTAACAGAATAGGAATTTTGGTCCAATTGTGAATTTTATTGGGAGAACAAGGGCTTCCTGTGTACTGGGTTTGAGGAGATCAGACTGCAGGCTCTTTGGGCTCTGTCACTGGGGCTTTACTCTCTGGAGTAGTGAAGAGTTTCACGCTAATGAAGGTAAGTTAAACTATGCAAAGAACGGGGGGAGGCTCAGCGGTTGGTATCACTTACGATACGGCAGCATTCAAAGCTGTTACTTCATGAAGCAAGTGGCGAGGGGGCTCACCCTCCTCCTGGTACTCCAAATGCAATCCACGCGCTTACCTCTGGCCCGCGGTGGGTGCATTAACGGCGCCGCGCGTACGGGCGCTGCAGCGGCTCGAGAGCAGGACAGCCGCGCCTGACTCAGGGCTACGCTTACTGGATGCCAGCCAGGGCTCTCCTGACCTCCTTTCTCCTCACCAACCTCAGCGCGTGTTCTTGGAGCCTGGTTGTGTCTTACCCTGCCCGCTTGTAACCACACCAGTGGAGAGCCAGTTCTATCTTTGGAATACACGGTACTACAAATTTAAATGTGCACTTGTACTTTTGATGAGCTAAAGCACATTAGGGTTGGCAAGCAGGACCTACGGCACAGTACAGTCGATTGTGTTTAGCCTGTCAGGCACTCAGGTGAACTGTTGGCTGGATTTAGCACTGACTGTGCACGACACCTACGTCAGAGTAGGAAGCACAGCACATTAATTTTCTGTTACAGTAACTGGACTTCTTACGACTGGGTCCTTGCAGAACTGTCAAGACCAAGCGAGTTCCTGCACAAGGAAAATTGTTTCTTTAAAAGGAGGTTCTGCACCCAACTCCTCTAACGGGAAGACGAAGCGTGTTTTACGCACACAGCGTAGGACACCAGTTCTTAACACTCCCGTATGCAGCAGGAACCCAAACCATAACGATGTGAATCAAACGGGACTGAATGACTGAGCACACTGTTGGCATCGGGTGGAGGGGGGGTTTCCTCTGTCTTATTTCACTCTCTGTACACTTACTAAGTATTTAAGAAGAGATCAAATTTTTAGAGCATTTTTCACAAAGGCAGTGTAACTGCCAATGCCCTTACTGCTGTATTTAAAAATATTTAAATCTGAAAATGGTACTTCGAACAACGACAGCAACAGGAAAAAAACTGAGAATTCTTGTTTGGGAAATTTTGTTCTCTGAAGACTTAAGATTTAGAAGAAAAGCATCGCAGCTTTTGTAGAGGTGACCACCACCTCCTCACCTTGCTGGCTGAAGTTCAGTTTCTGAGAAGTAAAAGCTGAAATCCATTCTTTCTTGTTCCACCCCTTTATAAACTCTCAGCACTGTTACAGAACAGGAGTGCAGAGAAGTAATGGGTTACTTTGGGTTGGGGGTTTTTTCAGGGGGGCGGGGTGTTTGGGATTTTCCGCCCCCCCCAAGTTTTACTGTAATGTAACAGCTTTTGTTGTTCTTTGTCAAATGCTGTGTAAGCACCACAGATGGAAGGAAGACAAATACAGATGAAATTTTGAACCTGTCAATCTAGAAGACCTTCTGTTACTACTACCTTACGCCATGTACATACAAGCATTGTCTCAGTAGGGCATTCTGTAGAGAATTAGCTAGCTCACCTTTCACGTCTGAGTGTTAGTACACACAAAAGAAATGCAAAAAGCCACAACAACAGAAAACTGGAAACATGCAATTTCATTTCAATTCCTCCTCCTTCCCACCCTCAATTTGGGGATGACATACAAATATTCACAGCAGCCGAGGACTGACAGCAGTTTGGTGCAGGCACGGGACTGGCAGATCCCACGTGAGCCCCCTCACAGAGCTCTGCCAGGGCACCCACACCCCGCCACGCCAGCTCCTGGCTTTGCAGCCCGCGCTGAAAAGGTTGTGTCACGCTGGGTGCAAGCGCAGACGCGAGTGAGCGCAGGCCATGAACCTTCACGTTTGTCTTGGTCCTGGACCACTGAAGTCAACAGCAGCTCGGCTACTGGCTTCAGCGAGAACAGGATCAGAAGCGTAACTCGTATGTCCAAGCGACAAGTTAGACATTATGAATTAGTTTCATTAGGCAGATTGAGAACTTTTGTAAGTTCTCCCAGCAGAAGAAAAAAGTCTTTCATCTTTGTCTAGTAGTCTTATTAGTTATCGAGTAACCTTTTTGTATTATGCAGCTCTAGGTAAGACAGCAGACACAACATTCTCTCATGCTTTTGACCTGAGATTACCCACAGCTCCACTCGCATTACCTGGCTGTCTATCTTCTGCCTGACCCCTGAAGCGACGCCTGCGGCTACGATTGCGTCGCTGGGGTTTTTTGTCACTATCATCTGCAATTGCAAAGTTTACCATGAACTATTTCTGATGATAAAATAAATAAATAAATTCTTTAGCAGTTTCAGCATGGGGCATTTAAAATGGCTTCTGTTAAAGAGACAGGCTGAAAGAAAACCGTAACTTTATACTGAAAGCATACATAGGAATGCAAAAGCTAGATTTTACGTTTTTGCTCTTGGCTCATTAAAACATTTAGGCATATGCTTAATGACCTCAGACTTCATTTATTAAATAAGTAACCATATGTCAAATTTTAGCCACATAACCCATGGAAGAGGAGGGGTTTTCCTACGTTATTAATAACAGACTGTATTCTTGTCCCAGTGAGCATCAGGAGAACTTACTGAGGGAAAAGTACTGAAGCAGAAGCTGGAGAG